TTAAGGCTCCGCCAGATAGCAATAATTTTCTGCGTCACAGGGATGCTTGTGACTGACATCCAAGTTAACTCTGTGATTTTGAATAGAAGATGCCATATTGGCAACGCAACTGATAAAATTCGCCCAACTCTCAACTTCTAACGCACGCATATGCGACAAAACAACAACAACAGCAAAAATGTATGGAACGAATTCAAACCAGCTGTTTTTTGACCAATGAAATTGAGCCATTTTGTTTGCGGCAACGTTCTCATTGTGCCGTCTCGCCAAGTTCTGTGCGTTTTATAAGTTAAAAACATCCCTGTGATGCAGAAAAGATTTTCTATGTGGCAGGGCCTTTATTAATCAATACTTAGACAGGGCTATTTAAATAAGACCTTATCTGTGGCTGTGTTAAAAGACCAACTAGTTCTGCTATTCGGAAGCAAACGAGAAATCTTTTTTTCAAAGAAATAGGTTTCAAATATGAGAAGAATTGGAGCATGCGTGTCGCGGTGTGTCTGGAGCAAAGTTAAATTGATACTGCATTGAGCACGGAAGGGCTACCGCTTTAAGCGATCACAAAAAGTCCTCTTAAGGCCGACTGCGAGGTTTTGAGCAAAAAAAAAATGTAATAATACTTAATTTAATAACTACTGTTCACTTGAGTTTGTAGAGGTGTCGTTAAGTTTTTCGGCATACAAGTGCTTGTTTTGAGTCAATTAAGCTTAATTTTTAGTTATCATCTGGTCATACTGCCGTTGTCCTTGCTCTTCACTATAGTAGGATCCAAGATTTTGAATTGGGCAAGATGACTGTAGAGGTAGTGCACTTTCATATCTTACATCTTAAGGTTTTAAAGCTCTAAAAAGTTGCCAGCGCCATCAGAAAATGAGAAACTTTTAGTTTCTTAAAATTTAAGGCAAATTTTGACTGATTGTTTCACCACCAAATCGTGGGCTCAGAAACTGGAACATAGAACTCTCGAGTTGTCACATTTAATTAAAATATATTGCACTTAAATCTAGTTGTTGTTTCCCCTCTATCACTTCACAAATATTTCATCCTTATTAAAAATCGATAAATTGCCAGAAAAATGTTGAAACCTCGACACAGAAAATATGTAGATAAGTGATGTTATAGCAAATGCTTTGACCAATTAAAACCCTACCATATTAGGAAGAACTAAAACTACCACAAAAAAGTGCGCGAGTTGCTGAAAATAGCACTACACTGAGAAAAGAGTTTAGTTACGTCAACTAAATATGTTTTTATCAACACATGATTTGGTTATAGTTACATTATTTGTTTATAGTTACCAAATCATGTGTTGAGAGGAATATATTTGGCTGACTTTTTTCTGAGTGTAGAGATGATAATGGAGACTGCGTTTTTATGACCGTTTTAAATCGTTTATGATCTGAAAAATAAAATCTGAAGCTAGCGGTTATAATCAGAGACCAAGAACAAAGGCTATGATCGAAACTAAATGTCGTTCCCGTAGTTTTGTTCGGGAGTGTTTTCAAAAGAACGAAAGTGAGAAAAAAACTGTCGAGATCGTTCTCAATGGGAATTATATAAGAACAAAACCCTGTGAAACTTTCCCAAGGGGAACAAGATAAGAACCATACTTTCGGGAACATTTCTAAGAGAATCAAATGGAAACAAAAGTCTCCGGAACGTTCCTCCAAAGAACAAAACGGGAAGTAAAGTCTCAGGAACTTTCTGACAGAGAACGAAACGGGAACAAATCTTTTCCGAACTATTCTCGAAGAATGGAAGCGAGAAAACAATTTTTCTGATAGAGTTCCATTAATTTGAAATGTTTGAATATTAAACTTAATCAGAAAAGGAAAGATTTAAGACACGAACTTTTCTTGCACAGATAATGAAAAGTGAACAGTTACCCAAATGATCAGGGCTGTAAACCGGTTTTGAACCGAACCGCTTTTAGAACCGAACCGCCGCTTTTTTTCGGACCCCGAACTGAACCATGAACCGAACTGTTTATTTTGAAATCCCAAAACTGAACCAAAAACCACTCCAAAAAATGGTTTGGTTCGGTTCAAAATCAAAATCCCCTATAGCATTTTTCTCGTTTTGTAATACACATTTTTGTCTAAAAATGCAACCCGTATGGTAAAACCGCAGAACATTTTTGTTTGATGGCAACTACGTGAGAATATTTTTATATGGAAAATACGCTAAACAACGCCAGCAAAAAAAATAAATAAAAAACTGCATACTCGGATTTTAGTAATTCTGATAAAAAAATATATACTTTGATGTAATTTTGTTTAAATTTGTAGAGTTTTTCTGATTTTCGTACAAAGTTTTTAATTAGGATTTTTATGGTTTTTGTTATATAACGAGAAACACTTTTATAAAAAATGTATGAACATTAAACCAACAAAAGAAAAACAGTCAAATGTCGCACTGATATTATTTTGACCATAGGTATACTTGTACATATGAAGTTAAGGACTAGTGTAAGCTCCAACCTACCGAAAATGAGGGTTTCAACATTAAGCCAAGATTTTGAGTGCCAATTCGAAATTCTGAGTATGCCGTTTTTGTCTACTCGACTAGGCTCACGACTTGTCCAAACCTTAAACAAGTTAATGAAAATTTTTCTAATTTCACCTTGTTCGCTTTGACTTTAAATAATTTTTTTATAATATGCATTTTCTACCATACAAAAAAAAATTTCCCACATACTTTGTATGGAAGAAAGTCCGTGAAAAATTGCCATTAATCAACTTAAGACTTAAAAATTAGAAATTTTTATTAGATGAAACTTTGCAGAATTTTCATAATTTTTGCACAAAGTTTGAAACTTGGATCCATATGGTTAAAAATAAATTTATTTATTTTTTCACCACTATACATGTGGATATATTTGAATTTGATCTTAGTAACAGAGTCTTTTATTTTTATGTTACAGATTTGCCATATTTTTACAATATTTGTATCCATTAGCATAAAAAATGTAACCATTTGAACCGAACCGAACCGCGGTTCAACAATACTCATGAATCGGTTCTTGTATCGGTATAAGCTTTTCCTAAGTGGTTCGAACCACTGAACCGAACCGCCCCAATTTTTTGATTGGTTTGCAGCCCTGCTAATGATAAACGATCTGGAAGGCGAAATGATTCAGCTTTCCTCTGGTTTAGAATTAATAATCTTGGCTCTCACCGAAACGATTTTTCATCCCAGCACGCAGACGTCCTCTCACGCTTAACGTTAAGTTCTCAAAACTTTTGTCCTAATTTTTTTGTTTTCTTTGTTTTGTTTTCCGTTCTTCCTGAAAACGTTCTCGAAAGTTTCGTTCTCATCCACTATGCCATATTTTGACACAACTTTATCTCCTTTATCCATACCTTTACCTATGATATTATGGCCCAAAAACTGACAGATAGCCGATTTCGCAACGCATGTACACGACTAAAGACCTATCCTGATCCAAATCAACCGATAAGCCGCTTTTTGATCCCATTTGGCAATGTGGTTTCACTTATTTGGCGACAAATGCCACGCATTTGGTTCCCATTCAAACTGGGACCAAAAATAACTGTTATCTCCAATTTAGAAACGTCGTTTCTTAACAGTTATTAGATGAATAACATTTCTTATCTCGCCGATAAGAGTTATAACCCAACGTTTATTTTTTACGTTGTCTGATAAACGTTGTAAGATAAGAATATTGACGAAAACGGTATGGGAAAGAGGATAAATATGATGAAAATAAAAGAGGACGAGTAAAATAACCGTTATCAGGCAACGTAAAAAGTAAACGTTGGGTTATGACTCTTATCGGCGAAATAAAAAGTATTTCCCATCTAATAACTGTTATGGAACAACGTTTTTCCGATAAATATATAAATAAACTAGTAAAATAACAATTGTTCTTGATCGGAAAAATAAAAATCCTAAAAAAAAAACAATTAGAAAGTCAATTTCAAGGGTTAGATTACGCTCTCTGTTTTAATATTTGAATAAAAATGAACTAAAGGTTATGGAGTACCTGTACATAATTGTTTTCCTTTTTTATGAGTAAAAAAAAAAATATAATTTTCACGTAACTTAGCAGGCCAGGAGAATTAATGAAATCGTTATCAAAAATTTAAAAGTTGATTTTCGTGAAAAATGCACTGCTGTCAATTCCTTTGTGAACTTTTGTTTAAGTTCGCTTAACATTTTGTTCTCATAGCAATATCTTTAGAGACTCTAGTACCTAGTTAAATTATGTAGTTGAAAGACTACACGGTTAAAAATTTTGGTTTTAATTTTAAACTTTTTGGACTACATATATGATCAAACTAAATTCAGTTTCAAATACAAACCTACCAAGTTTAAAACAAAAAGAGCAGATATGTTGGGTTTAGAATTTAAACAGTTCGGTTTAAACCAGAATATATTAAAAATTGCTTAAAACTATTGACTAGTATAAAAAAGAGACTATAAAAGATTAAAAAAGGCAGTAGTCCCAGCGCGGTTTAAAAATTAAACCCAAATTTTTGACCGTGTACTTACCGATACAAATTTTCATTCGCTACTTTGTAACGCATTCCCGAGTGATTCACATGTCCTCCATTTTTTCACAAAGCTTGCACAAACATTTGTTTGCACCTACAAACATAGATAGGCAAGCGAAGCAAGCAAATCTTCCAGATGGTATTTTTCTTTTCTTAAAACGGAAGCCACCACATCGCTACATTTGGGATAGTTATTTTTGTACGAGTTATTGTGGTTATTGTTGTTCTAGTTCCGTGGTAAATTGCAGTTGTTCGTCTATGCAGAAATGTTAATCCGCTCATTATTATGATTGCTTTGCCCTCTTCCTTTCTCTAGAATTTTTTTTTGTCTGCTCAACCTTCTTTTTCTCTAATTATAATTTGATTGCCAACTCCATTGAAAAGTAGAATTTCCACCATTTTTTATTCAATATATATTGTATGTATGTATGTATGTATATGTATTCATGCCACTTCTTTTCTGCTTCTTCTTCTTAATTGCAGTGCAATTGATGGTGGCCATGCCGACATTGATGGATTTTATGCTGTTGATAACCATGATGATGATGATGAGCGGCATCGTAATGACGAGACTATCACAACGGTTAAGCATGTGCTGCTGAGGTGCATCATAGATACATACATACATACATACATACATAGATACTCATAGCGCTACAGCCAGTGCAGTGCGGTCGATGAGTTAATGAGTGGACGGAAAAGGTGAATCGCAACTATTCTTAGCAGAATGCTATACAGGCAGCTGGTGTTGTTGGGTCTGTGGTGTGAGCAGCAGCAGCAGCAGCAGCAGCAGCGCGCTGCGCGATGAGAAAGAAATACCAGCGAGTGAAACGTGCATGAGGTGTGCAATTAAAACATTGCTCGTCATTCGCCTCCTTCCCATTCGACCATCCGACACAGTGCCATGCGATGCGAATAAGTGCAATAACTAAATTGTTGTTACCAATACAATATCTATGTATGTAGATACTTAAAAGAGTAAACAAAAAAGTGCATATACGAGTAGATGTGTAATAAAAAAGCAGAAAGGAATAATTAATAGAAACTCGCGTAGACGGTCGCTCAGTGCTAGTCGGGTCGGGTGTGCGTGCAACATTGCATACAAAATACAAATACAACACCTGTGCTTTAGGAATTGTATGCGCATAGTGTGAACGTGTTGTTGTTTTTCTTTTTTTTTCATTGTTTAACTTCGATATGTAAAATGCAATAAAACTATTGGCACGAAGATTTCATTCCTGGAATTCGCCATTGCAGCGGAACCAAACAAGTGAATAGATGCACAACAACGGTGGTAAAACAACAACAACAACACCAAAAAAAGTGAGACAATATAAAAATAAATAAAAGAAACAGTGAAAATAACAACAGCTCGTATTAATTACACATACATTAAAAGGCAATGTTGATGGAATGGTAAATAACAGCACAGCAGCCAACTTGAAATAGCAGCGAAACATAAAAATTCGTGCTGCATTTTTTTCAGTGCATAGGTACTTAATTGATGTTAAATTGACGTGCATTCACATTGCAGTGCGTGCGTGTGTGTGTGTGTGTAAGAGTGTGTTTTGTGGGTTTTAAGAAACAGTTAATTATTGCAAGCATAAAAAAACGTACATAAAAAATAGTCAGTTACTTGAAAAATTCCACAGCAAAACTATATGTTTGTGAAATTAAAGAAAATATACCAAACGCATGTGTAGTAAGCAAACAAAAGCGTAATAGAAAAAAAAAATAAAAATAAATAAAAATTAAGTAAACTCGGCGAACTAAAAAACCCATACATATACAACAGTAAAAACAGCACTTGGACAACTGTAATTTTATAAAAAAAATTTCAGTCCTTGGATTACTTGGACGATGGCAGTGTCCTGCCCCGAAGTAATGTACGGTGCTTACTATCCATATTTGTATGGCCGTGCCGGACCAAGTCGTTCATTCTATCAATATGAGAGGGTAAGCTTTCAAATGTAATTTCTCATTGTATTTTATCCCAATGAATTGTGTATATAAACTGTTTGTTGATTTGAAAAGCGAAGACTTTATTAGAGTCACTAAATAGTATCTACACCAAATACGTATTGAGTTTTGCCGCACAGTGGAACGTCCCCATATAAGCTGCCGCAAAGAGTAGTAACCGTACTACTGAGATTTCCTATGTGCTATGTTTTACAGTTAGGAATGAAGAAATATGGAAAATGGTAAAAATCGACTCACTGCCACACCCACAGCTCTTGTGGGCTGAAATGGTAAATGTTATCCGATTCGGAATACATGCTGTTTTTAACCAGAAAAGCATAACTCTGAAAGAACATCAAAATCGGTTATTGTCATCGTCGACCCACTCTAAGCAAATAGGCGCAAATGTATAAAAAAAAAAATATGTTTTGATGAAATCCAAAGTTTTATTTTTTGGAAGATATTGTTCATGAAGAGCCAATACAATTATGATTCACTAGAGAGCTTAAAAAATTTAAAAATAAAAACCCACATTCTTTTAAACTGTATAAAAGAACGGGCTTAGACAGTGATTACGTAAAGTACTCAGTTTTGCGGCAAAACTACTTTGCATGGCTTCGTAAATTCAAAGCGTAAAGTACAAGGTTTTTCGTCCGCTATGCATTATCGCAACACTGTATCTAGCGACAGCCAACCCATTGCCAACATGTTTGCCCAGTTCTTTTGGCCCAATTATTCTGTAGACTTCCCTATAAGTGGAGACTATCCCTACGAGCTTTGTCCAATCAACTCTGCTTATATTCCAGTAATATCTTCCGATGTAGTTTTACACTATTGGAAAACTTAAAAAGCGTCATTTAGGCCTGGACCTGATCATATTCCGACCTGTTTTCTTAAAAACTGCGCTGAGAACATCTGCGAGCCTTTAACAACTCTATTAAATTTGTCACTAAAACATGGCGTTTTTCCGTCAGCCTGGAAGGAGTCTTTCATAATACCACTTCACAAAAACGGCAGCAGGTCCTCTATAGAAAACTATCGAGGCATAACAAAGCTCTTCGCTATCCAAAAATTATTATATATCTTCGTCAATTTCACAATATCAACACGGGTTTTTGAAAGGAAAATCTACTATCACTACTGCTCATACCGACGTAATATACACCGATTTCAGTAAAGTTTTTGACAAAGTATGCCACTCGTTACTCATCCGTAAACTCGGCCTAATCGGCGTTCAGCCAAGTCTTCTTCAATGGATCTCTTCTTACCTTTCTGATAGAACACAAAGAGTTGTTTTTAGCAAATGTTCTCCAACAGCATTAAAGCTTCTTCAGGAGTTCCTCAGGGAAGCCACCTTGGTCCGATTCTGTTCCTGTTATTCAATAATGACATTTCTTCTATAATAAAACATTCCAAAAATTTTAATGTATGCCGATGATGTGAATCCTTTTAAAACATCCCATCGAAGAAAGGTATTTGTTACAAGCGGATCTGAGCAACGTGGTTAGTTGGTGTAATGCAAATTATATGCCACTAAACCTTAAAAAATGTAAACTTATAGGTTCCTCTCGGAGGGCTGTTCAAAAGTGTTCAAAGATCCTTATGTCACAAAAGCTCTTTTTACCACTATAGATAGACGTATACTAGAATACGGATCTATTGTTTGGAATCCCCGCTACCAAGTTCATTCAGAAAGGATTGAATCAATTCAAAAACAATTCTTGCTTTTTGCATTGCGTAATTTTAACTGGGATTCAGATTACAATCTCCCCCCTTACACAAGTCGTCTAAAGCTCATAAATTTGCCTACACTCGCAAGTCGTAGAGAAATGCTGGGNCGCAGTTAATTCCCTAGTTGATCGGGATCAACGCTGCCGTCTGTTTATGCTTTTAAGCTCATAAATTTGCTTACACTCGCAAGTCTTAGAGAAATGCTAGGTATAATATTTATCGTAAAATTAATGACAGGCTTGATTAATAGCCCGGCCCTCCTGGCTGAGGTAAATTTTAATGTTCCNCTCTGTTTTTGAAGCCATGCAAAACTAATTTTGAACTAAACGAATCATTCCGTTGTTTAAGTCAAGATTTTAACTCTCATTCCAGCACGCTTGACATATCGGACTCGATTTTTACTATAAAGAAAACTATCATTTCCGCTCTCAATTATTGAAATACTAACTGATGAATTTGATTCTGTATCTGAATAGTTTCAGATCTCGACACCTAACAAAATTCTGTTTCCACTACTCGGCACAAAAGACCAAAAAAAAAGAGTTCCGTACGTTATGCATCCGTTGGGATTAATTAATTAATTAATAATGAAGAGTTTCTCACTATGACACCCACCTCCTACAAAACTTTTTTGCATTGAAGTGCTAAATCTTTTAAACTTTTGGGGAAAATTTACAAACTGATTTATTTCCTTTCTAAAGCAGTTCCTATTTGTTCGCTTTCAAACGACTTGATAACTTTAAATTTCGTATTCAGATGCGGAAAAAAGTTATGAAAACGCGAAACGCTGGGAGAAAAACTGAAAAAAATTGATAAAAAAGTTAATTATATTTTTGTGATTCCACGGTTACTCGTAAACATTTAAAGATTAAAAATCTAATTCAATTTACATTTTTATATTTCAGCTTACGAAAAAGTTTACTTGTTCGAATATATAGACGTAATGATATTTTAATTAGATTCTTATAACCAGGGAACGGATTTTTAGGACCTAAAAACCTATAAAAAAGGCAAAATAAAATAATGAAATAGGCTGGAAAAGGCAAAATAAAATAGCGAAAAGGCAGGAAAAGGAACTAGGTATTGCAAAAAAGGCAAAAAAAGGCAAAACAAAATAGCGAAAAAGGCAGGAAAGGGCACTAGGTATTGCAAAAAAAGCAAAATAAGGCAATAAAAAATTCAGCAAATACGAAGAACAATCAAAAATTACATTTATTTTAGAAATGTTTATATTACAAGTAAAAATAAAAAAACTATGAACTAGTTTCATTATATGAAAAATTTTTACTTTGTATCTTTGACTATTTTATCCTTTCGGGTTTTTCATAAAACTTTAATCTCTATAGTTGTAGTAACATTGAACCATTGAACCACAAGATGCATTTTGAAGTTCTCTGGCAGCATTTTCATTCGATTTTCGCGAAGAAAAGCCTTGAATGTACTAAATGTGCGCTCGACGTAAGTTTATACAAATGGAGCCCAATTTAAATATGGAACGTTGGAAACGTTCATATTATCAGGAATACGGGCGTTTTCCTCGCCATTTACAATTTTATCCACACCCATTATTGTCTCCAAGCCTACGTTAGCTGAGAAAACGGCTTTGAATTATTCCAACACCAATTTGGCGCTTCTATAAGCCGGATGGGCATGTGTATATTTTGTAATCTAAAAAAAAAACTGTAAATGCTATAATCACTTTTTTAAGTTATAAAAGGCAAAAAAGGCAAATATTTTAAAAAAAGGCAACAGCAAATGTATATATATGGAATCAGGGAAAGCTAAACCGTGGACATTCTTAATCGAATATACTCTATCTCTTTAGCAGAAAAAAAGGCAATTTCCATAAAATCCGTTCCCTGCTTATAACTTATTAAATACAAATCAAAAGTTAGTCGTCCTTCGCGTTACAATTTCAGCACAGGGATATTGAGCTATGCTGATTTATTAAAATTTATGAGAAAGTTCTCAAAATAATTATTTTTTTGATTTTTGGTTATTAATACAAGGATATTTAGAGAGATGGAAAAGATAAATCGAATTATGTACAGAAAGTGGTTTCACTATTTTTTTTTTTATTCCGGTGGAACTACTTTTATTTAAGTCTAGTGTGATTTAGTAATTTTTTTTAACATTCAGCCCTATTACGCTCCACGTTTTTCGTTTTCAATCTCATAAATTGTTTATAATGACCTTTGCTAAAATTTCAAAATCAAAAGTTATCTAAACAAATTCTATGGGACTGAGATATATTATTTTCTAATTTTTAGTCCATTTATAAAAGCGTGGTATATTAAAAAGTTTTTATTTTATTTTATTTATCTTTACATGTATAGTACTCTGAAACAACTTCTGTTTTTGCACGTCCATTGTTACCACCTTTTCATCGATTCTCCTAACACCAGTGTTCTCAGTCCACCTAATTTTTTTGACAACCATAAGCTCCATAAAGCATAAAAGCTACACAACGGCAATTTTTTTTTTTTATACGTGACTTCCGTTTTCTTATGATTTATTAAGCTCTTAAGTCGTATAAATGTTACGTTCGACATCATGGAATCATCCATATTGCTTTACAAGGCTGGACCATTTAAATATAGAGAATTACATGTTTAATAAACTGTATTTTTTCCGCCGAAATGCCACTGTGCGCGGACAATGGTCGGAAATCCAATGCAGCTGTCCAAAAATCTAAAAACAAAATCTGGATTTTTACAATTTACATATTCATAATCTTTAGAGAGTGGTGTGAAGCTACATACATATGTACGCCAAACTGGTCTCAAAACTTCGCAGTTGCTTCACAGTTCCAAGGCAAAGGTTGCTAATTCACGCGTTCATCATACGCCATGGTAAACAAAAATAAAATTTCGTTTCAGCGAGCAAAAATATGTTTTAATTAATCAATTTGAGTGAAATATTTAGATGGGATTCTGTATTTAAACATAAATAATTATTTTTGGGTATAACAGAACAAGAGACACTGCGACCTGAACGATCTTCGGTACTCCATAAATAGAGTCCCTACCTCAGTTTGGCCTAAATACCTTCGGATTCCCTAAGGAATCATAAAAGGGGCTTGGAATTCTTAATTACAAATAGTTCGACCATTTGAGAGAATATGTTCTGAAAGCCCATCGTTTTCAAGGCAAAGCCGGCATTCTGACTCTGCGATCACACCTATTAGGTGCATGTGAAATCGCAGCTGGTTGTGAGCAGTCAGGCACACAGGAAGTAGCTAAGTTAGTAAAAAATCTTTCGTAAGA